GCATTTTCTATTTCCAATTCATAAGGCAATCCAGAGAAGCCAAATCTGATGACATCACCAGGGGCTAGCCTCACTGCAGCATTCTGTACTCTACAATCATTTACATACGTCCCTTGTGCAGTATTTAAATCTTGAAGAACAAAACAGTTTTCTACTTCGTTGAGTTCGATGACAGCGTGAGTCAGTTCCACATTACAAGACTACAAAAAATAAGAATAATTGGTATGAAGCAATCAACAAATAACGTTATGACAAATAAGGAAAAAATAAATAAAACAAGGTTTAGTAAGTGCTTAGTAATGGCAATAAATTTCATGGAGATTCACAAAAAATTTTGTTTTTGTTTCTAAATTTAAACAAGTTATGTATTCCCCAACCTGTTTAATAATATGGTCTTCACTGTTACTCAACAATGCACTCAAACATGTGAAAATCATCTATTATTGCAGTTAGGAATTTCATATTTAATATCAATTGTCTATCTATAAGACTGATAATTGGGACAATGCATGAACAAATGTAACTTAATCCAATTAACATTGTTTAAATATTCTACAATGTATTTTCTAATGGAGTTTTTAGTCTGTCCTTTTAACTTTTTCACCACCAGACCTTTTCACCCAATTTTTTTTAAATATTTCTGGAAGTGAACCCTAATTTTGGAGCCAAAAACAAAAATTGAGTCAAAAGATTTGGCTATTTTTGTCCTAATCTTCTGGAGGAAAGTGCAGACTATGAACCGGACTATTTTATGAATTTTTAATGAAAAGATGGAAATGGTAGTGAAAAGGTTTATTACTAGACTATGACTGTTTACGACTATGATTTAGCAATTGAATGTATTTGTGTCGCATCCTGGTATCCAAATAATATACAAGACTGATCTATCAACATTGAACAATTACAAAAAGATAATAATCAAATTGTTTTCATGTAACCAAAGAGGTCAAATAAAGGGCATGAAAAGCAACCATTGTTGCCATAGACACTTAAGACTACATTGTCATAATGCAAATTACCTGTAATATGTTTGCAGTCAAAGTGCATACTGTAGAAGGGCAGATATTCAGGTGGGTTCAATTGTAGCAAATAAAATGTTGCCAGGTTACTAAATTATATTGTGACATACTATGTACTATGAATATTCATTGGGTTTTCATTTAACACATTGCTTATGGCTGATATCAGCAAATATAAATGAAAATAAAACTATAATAAAATAAATCCAGTATTAACTTTATACATATGTACCGGTACATGTTGGTAGGGCCAGGGTACAATCAGTGATGTATTTCTGTTTTCCATTAACCTCTTCACCACAAGTTCCCTCTTTTCAATACAAATTCACGAAATAGTCCCATTATATGTAGCTGTTTTAAAAGCAAGCAAAGCTAGCATTCAGCTCACTTAAAACAAGCTATGCTGAGTTATGCTTGGATCACAATCTTTCTAAACCATGTATGCTATCTCTGTTATTAGACTTTTCACCACCAGATATCTCTTTTCATCACAAATTCATAAAATAGTCCTGTTTATAGTCTGCACTTTTCTTCAGAAGATTTGTACAAAAATATTCAAATTTTGTGAGTAAAAACTGAAAATTGACTCAAATTTTGTCTGTTGGCTCCAAAATTACGGTTCACTTCCAGAAATATTGAACAATATAAGAAAGAAGTACAGAAAAATTTGGACGAGAAAGTCTTGTTGTGAAAAGATTAAGAAAAAAAATGGAAATGTGGTTGATCCTCAAAATAATAGAAAATCACTGTCCATATATAAATGTGTATGTATCATATTACCTGGAAATATAAATAGACATGAAATATATAGGCACCCTCTCTTCAAAGAAAAATTAATGGTACATCCCTTAAAGTGATAACTGACTCAGTGAAATATTTATACAGTACTACAAGCAGAGAACATTGTGAAACTATTGTTACAATTGATCATATTACTTTGTGAGTGAATACAAATTACGTCCCAGGGAACTTAAAGTATTCAGCAATTTGACTGGTGACCCACAAAACTATTCAGCAATGGTGTTCACCCACAGAACCAAACAAACTTAAAACATACAGAGACTTCTAGTTTTACGTAATGGTAAACTAAGAAAGATGTTTCCAAATATACCAGTCTAAATTCAAATTTAGTGTTGTGCAGAATAACTGTTTTGTACAATTACACTGTACGTCAATAATATATTTTACAATGTGATAGACTGGGAAATAAATCAAGCATAACACCATGATACACACTAATTACTTTTACTTGGTTTCCTATATTCAAAACTGCTGATAATTATCCTTGGCTTTCTGAGAGCTGACATTGTATCTTAATTGTGACTAAGTCATGGCAATACTGTTGTATATTTATATATATTCAACATAGCTACATAACATATGCATACATGTGTTATACACACCATTATCTGCCATATTGTTTCCATGTTTCTTTGTCACAGTGGTAGAAAAATGATTTACGACTCTGAATTTAAACAAATGTAATTTACCATCAACTGTCTTTTCAGATTTGTAGCCAAGCATTTTATAATGAGTGTACTTATAAATAATTATTGAGTTTAAAACTAATTGTTGTCACAGTGTTTCTTTCAATCATTCTCATACATCTTTGCTTTATTAGAATCACATCTCTGATAGAAGTCCAGTAATGTTCATATAACTACAATTAAGCACATTTTGTTATTTGTTCTGTTCTGTGTGTAACAATAAATGACTGCAGTAACACATTGACATGTTCTGTGTGTAACAATAAATGACTGCAGTAACACATTGACATGTTCTGTGTGTAACAATAAATGACTGCAGTAACACATTGACATGTTCTGTGTGTAACAATAAATGACTGCAGTAACACATTGACATGTTCTGTGTGTAACAATAAATGACTGCAGTAACACATTGACATGTTCTGTGTGTAACAATAAATGACTGCAGTAACACATTGACATGTTCTGTGTGTAACAATAAATGACTGCAGTAACACATTGACATGTTCTGTGTGTAACAATAAATGACTGCAGTAACACATTGACATGTTCTGTGTGTAACAATAAATGACTGCAGTAACACATTGACATGTTCTGTGCGTAACAATAAATGACTGCAGTAACACAT